TTTTTTTTTTTTTTTTTTTTTTTTTTTTTTTTTTGTGTGTGCGTTAAGGTTCTTGAGATCTTTTATTTGTAGCCTGGGAAAGAAAGAGATTACGTTTTTTTTAATGGCCTTTTTTTTTTTTTTTTTTTTTTTTTTTTTTTTGTGTGTGCTTCTTTTTATTTTTGTAGGGATTAGTCAGCTTCTCAGCAACCACAGGAGTCCCTTTTCCCAGGGATGGTGTCTGCAAGGTTTTCTCTGCAAAAACCCACCAGCTCACTGCAGTATTTTCCTCGAGCTCATCTCTGTCGAGATGCCCACAAAAAGCCCGATGAGGCAACAATGGATTGCTAGGGTAGGACTTCCCCCAGAGAGCCACAGGATGACTACGAAGCGTGTGTCCTCCTCTTCATTTGTTGCATGTTGCTATTGCCTCTTACCCTTTTGTTTTTTGCAGACTTTTGCACCCACATAACTTTATGCATTATAAGTAACTCATCTAAATAGGGTCATGTGCTGTAGCTAAGAATATACTTAAATCTTCGGAGGATCACAGTCCTGAGCATCAAAGCTTCAGGCTATAGATCATTTTTTTGTTATGTTGGTATACCATTTAGTCTAATGGCACTATTGTAAAATACTTCAACAGTAGTTTATAATAATTAACTTAGAACATAGTAAATTATATCCATGTTGGAAAAACACCTGGCCTTTATATTGGCTTGCTTCATGATGAGTCAGATGAGACATATAGCCTCTAATCCTCACTAGGGTGATATTCAAAGAGCTTCCTGGGAAAAGGACTGTGTCTGCTTGCATAAATGATTCAGGTATTCCACGGGGGTTGGGCTGGGGGCGCATTTTTACAAAAGAAAGACAGCATGTATGAAATAAATTAAAAGAAATTTGTCCTAGTCTATATTGGAAATACTCCAAGGCACTTTTTAATTTTTTTGCCTAGGTCTGCCAAGTAATTAACTAAGCTAATTGAGTCTCATCATACTGAACAACTAATCTACTTGCACTGTGATTGCCCATGCTAAACTTTACCTCTGGTCTTCCACATCTCAAAAAAGCAGGAGAATGAAAAGAACCTATGAAACAAAGGGTCACAAAAGGCAGAAAGTTTCTCTGACCTGCTCTACAGTAATTATTTCTTTTTGTTTGTCCTAGCTCTTATCATGAGGCATTAAAATCACACACTTTTGTAACCACAGCAGGTTCCCATTGCCCCTCAGGGCACTCAGGGCTGTCTCATCTCATTTCATTAATTACATTTCATGACTGCTGTGGGTCAAGGGTTGGAGGAGGGAGCAGCGTCCAATTCAGAGAGCAGCAGCAATCCCTGAGACATCAATGAGAAAGAAGGTTGGTTAAAAAAACCCCGACAAAAAGGATCAATTGGGAGATATCTACTGTGAAAGTTATAGATTAAAATAATAAGAAGGCATCAGAGGTGCTAGTACAAGTACTAGCAAAAATAAAAGGGGAAAAAACTAAATTAAATGAAACAAGGGGGAATTGCTAAGCACATTTTGCTTATTCAGTATAATGACAGCAGCGGAATCGTTGCCTCATTGTCTAAAGGAGGCTACAGACAGGGGACTCCTAAGGGGAAGCATTTCTGTCAAAATGCAAACCTGGACTTTTGGCCTTTGAGGTGATGCACTGTAATTCTGGTAGAAGGGGTGGTGGGAAGAGTTCACTGAAGGGTGCAGAGCTTGCCTTGAGAACCCAACTGTCTCGCAATCAGGGGGCCCTGCGGAGCATTCACAGTAACTTTGAGGAGCTGAGAGGACAGCAGAGATTGTCATCTAGGGAGCTGTGATTGCTTCTGGTTGGAATATGCTCTGGTTTTCCCCAGCCATTTCTGTGAAGCCACATGTAGTGGCATTGCACTAACACTGCACAATGCAGTCAGGGAAAACAGTAGGTAGAATATACTGATAGTTTTGCTCAACGGTTCTCAAATCTCATTGCCAAATCCTAAACCTGACAGTGTGCAGGTCCCAAATGGGGAGAAAGGATGTGGAAGAAAGGAGAAGAAAACTGTTTCCAAGGTGCCTGGAGCAGCTGAGGGATGCCTGCTCCCACAGTTGGTGCAGATCTACTCCTGGAAGGGTAACAGGGAGGAGGGGGAAGAAAAGTTTTAGTAGTGGTCATTTATTTCATGGGAGCTGGGGATAACCTTTTGAGAGCCCTTCCATTCCTCTTCTGCTAGAGAAGGGCTATCCCATAGAATAGCATGCATTAATGGAAAAATGTATGTGATTGGTCTATCATTATTAAAATAATTTATATCTTATTCCTATAACAGATCAGACAGCAGCTTGTTCCCTCACTGTCCCCTGTCTTATTTGTTCCTCGTTAATTCCCTCGTCCTGCCTGAAAGTGCCTTTGCGCTGTACTGAAAAAATGGCAGGTGATGCCACTGTCAGGCTTGGCTGTCGAAAGGAGCGTGCCAAGAAGTCGTTTCCTGCACCCCGATCTGCCACACTGTCACTTAAACTAGTCCTGAAAGTGGGGCCCAGCCTGAAAAGTTACTTGCTAATAACGGCACCTCCTTACGCGGCAGATTTGTTCCTGGCGCTCGTATTCAGCATTTTATATTGGGCTTTCAGGCCACACAGGTTTTTATTTCAGGCAATCGTTCAGCTCAGGTCATCCACATTCATTCCTCCTCACCTATCCCCACCCCTGCCAAGCCACTGGACTCATCAGCCCCTCTACTTCCCTCCCGCCTGCTCTGTGACGCTCCACATCCAGGCTGCACTTCCCACCGCTCTCCGCACCAAGCCTTGGGACCCTCCAGCAATGCTGCCACCCAAAGTCATCACATAACCAAACACTTCTTCACAAGATATAAATATCACAACCATGATTTTCGTTCTTCATAATTTCAAAATGAAACTTTCAAAACAGGAGAAATGAACTTTTTGATGGTTCTCATTTTATTTACTTTTCTCCTGGTTATCAATTTGCACAGGTTTTGATAGCAACATTTTCTTCTCCAATTTGGGACCAATAAAAAAAAAAAAAAAAGGCCCAAAGTCCTTTCAAACCAGGAAAGTTTTCTGTCCAGGTTTACTGAAAACTAATAGGTTTTTTTGGCATTGACAATGTTACATGTATAATGTCAGTAGCTCCTTGTGAACTTGAACAACAGGTGTGTTGTGTGGACAGCATTCGATGTTCACAAGTGAATGAGTTTTACTGAGTCCATCTTATTGAATAAATACCTACCTAGAAAAAACTCAAGCAAAACAGATCTTGCTTGTAAATTACCAGCCTGGAAATTATTACTGTCTCAGTATATTAAGGTCATTGTAAGTAAATTCAGTACAACCTGAGTTTTTCATAAAGCACAAGTGTATCTTCTTAATAAAAAAGAACCAGAAAGCCTAAAACATAAATATGAATGTGCTAATTTCAATTGTACAATACAGTGTATGCAGGATTTCAGGGAGCCTCTGAATACTTTCTATTTAATTGGATAAATTGTCATTTTAATTGTTAAACTTTATGAGCCAATAGGAACTGACTTTGGGGCTCTTGCCATTTAATTTGCCTATTTTAGTACACACATGCTAATTACAGGTGCAGGCACTGCAAAGCACATTTCATAGGATAATCTCTTTTTAATTTGCTTGAATAAAAATTCCTCTATTATTTCTCTACAAGGCACCAGCCCTTACCATGTCCCTCATGTTCAACACAGTTTTGCTCTAAAAGTGATGTTACCGAAAGCATGCTGATCCCTACATTTGTCGCAGTGATTCCCCTGCAAATGTGCACAACTTAGAAATATCTAAAGGAGCTGTTGCTCTTCAATTAAATTTGAGCTTGTTCTTTACCTGTTCATACTTTCCTACCAGAACTAAATATTCTGCAAGTCAAGTTGTGCCTTGGCTTGCCTCTACGAGAAATCCACCTCTTAAAACACTGCCTTGAGTAGTCCAGGTACAACCCCAGTACTTCCCATAGGGTTTCATATATAAAGTGGGAGTAGAAACCGGCCCTACAATCCCAGTATGAACATGGACATGAACACCACGTGCAACAAGACGCAAACGCAGCTCCTTCCCCAGGCTGTGCCAGCCTAACAAGAGATGAGCACTGAGAGTTCACCCACAAAAGAAAAAAGGGTATTTTCAAATTGAAACAGGAACGACTTTTCTGAAAATAAACTCTAGGGTTGTGAAGGGGCGGGAAACAAAAGTATTGCAAGGGTTCTCTTTTGTGAATAGTATTTCTTTTCCTTTTACAGTACGACAGCATCCTCATTTTTCACCTACTTTTTGTCAGTGGCAGAAGAGTGAGTGCAGAAGTGCCAGTGGTCAGCAGACAGGCAACACAGCCGGTCAAGGAGGGGGAAGGATTGATGCACAGAAAGGGGACCTGCCTTGTGCGTTCCTGCCTGCTCTCTGTTTCTGGAAATGCCAAACTGGAGATGAGGAAAGAAAGGGAAATCATGCAAACAGGGACACTCACCTTTCTGCTACTTTGGACATCTTTAAACAATGTCTTTCTATCTGCACGTTCAGAAAAGTTATCTGAGGAAAGAGATGACAAGGACATTAACAATCCGTGAGCTCTACAGCACACATTGATCATATCCCAACACACTATTGATTTCTCTTTCCAAACAGCTTGAAAGTAACTCAGAAGGAAATGGGACCCTTCCCTAGGTATTAGAAGAAGCTTATTAACTGCTTCAAACAGGAGTCTCCATTTCCTATGGCAAAGACCCAGGGGAAGCTTCAGAAGACATAATTAAAAGTAGGAAAGGCACATACTTGGGGCCGAGGTTCCTAGACTACTCAGGATGCAATAGGATCGCCTTTTTACACCACACTTCTCTCTTCCATTTCTCTGACTGGTATCACAAGACCAATAACGGTTTTACAGCACATTTGCACTCTGCTATGAACTAGTTCTTCACAGTACTCTGAAGCCTATGTTGCCTGTGATAGAAAAAGCTCAAGAAATTTAGTGTTCAGGTCTAGTTCAGAAGACCACCCTAAAACTGCCTAAGAAACATGTTTAAAGCTGCCTTTACTAAAATGCTGACCTAGCAATTCCTGCCTGTACTTCAGTGAATGCTGCTTGTTGCAGGAAAGTAATTTTGAGGAAGAGCTCCCTGTGCCAGGGTAAGGATGTGCGAGTCAGCTGGCCATTCCTTGAAGTGATTGTGCAAATAACTTCTTCCTAGTTCCCTGAAAGCTCTGACTGTACAGTCTAACAGTCACGCACCAACCGGTCCCCAGCCTGTGCCCCAGTATGCTGGCTTCTTCCCTAGACTTTGTCACTGCCCACTTTTCAGACATCCTCAGTGAACTGGAAATTAATCTGTCTACTGGTCCACAGACAGAATAATAGTAGATTGAAAGGTCAGTATTACCCATAATACATACCATCATACAACTGCACTGCTCAATGAAAATATATCTATATCTATATCTTTAAATACTTACTACTTTATGTAAAGTATGTGAGGATCAAGGACAGGTAAAGCATACAATTGGTTTTGCCGATATTGCAATAACTTTTATATGCTTTTTTTTTTTTTTTTGGCAGATAACAGTTCTCAGAAGAGTTGCCGTATAGCTGTCTACTTACTTGTTTCCGGAAATCCTCTTTTGTAGTTTTGCGTACAGGTTGGGAGGGCACGTGCACAGGGCTTTGGGACTGAGACTCCTCTGTAACCCCGTATACTGACTGTGAGGAACCAATAAACAAACAGAAGAGATTATGGCATTTTTCTCTGTTATGCAATGGGGAGAAGTGCAGTATGCAAAGCAGTAAGGTAACAAGCCAGCAATTTCCTACTGTTTATATCCACACAGGTCAATAATCATTCAGCCTCGAGCAAAATTTACAGATCAGACTGTGCTTGGAGATGCCTGCACTTGGAAGGTCTGCACACATGTTAAGAAAAGACTTTATTTTAAATGTTAAAATGCAGCTGATAATTCTTAGGAGCTCTGAAGGCTGTGTGTGTCAATGCTTGCCGGATGAACACTGGGAGCGGTCATCATGGTGAACGAAGGGGAGAAAGAAAAGACTAGAACCTAATCCTATTTTCTTTCACTTGGTTTAATTTCTTGTCATAAAACTACACATTGAAGAAAGAGCTTAACCAGGCATGAATGGGTCAAGTTCACGTGAACCTCTCTAAACAAAAACCTGCAGATTGACTTGTAGCTATTCATTTGCAGGACAGAGACCTGCACTGAAAGTAATATCAGTTATCCTTTTGTGCTTTTGCTTTTTATTTAACATTTGTAAGAGACATGTGAATAGCTCTGCTGCAATGTAACTGCCAATGAAATTTCAGGAGTCTCGTGTCACCTCCAAAACAGGTAACAAGCGATAGGACGAGAGGAAATGGCCTCAAGTTGCACCAGGGGAGGTTTAGATTGGATATGAGGAAAAATTTCTTCACTGAAAGGATTATCAAGCACTGGAACAGGCTGTCCAGGGAAGTGGTTGAATCACCATCCCTGGAGGTATTTAAAAGACGTGTAGATGTGGCATTTAAGGACATGGTTTAGTGGTGGACTTGGCAGTGTTAGGTTTATGTTTGGGCTCGATGATCTTAAGGGTCTTTTCGAACCTAAACGATTCTACGATTCTATATACACAGAAGAGCTAAAACTTGCTGGAAGGCAAAGTCACCCAAGTTGCTAATGATCCAGCCTTTGAAATGATTAAGGTGGGTAAACAGCTCTGAAAAATCCATGCCCAAATAATTTCTGAAAATGGGACCTACGTACTTTTGCCAATTGCTTTTAATTTTATGGGAATGCAGAGCCAGCAGGTATCTGGGACACAGAGCTCCTTAATGCCCTTCTCAGCTCTACCCATCACTCAGTCTGTACTGCTCTACTGGTAAAACAGGAATAGTAAATTCACCAATTAGAACAAAATGGAAGTCATATTTGCAAAAAGCTTTTTTTGGTTCCTATTGGGTAAGTCTGATATACTGTAGGTGTCAAGCGTGATTTGCATTAAAAACAAAACCAACAACAGCAGCAAAAAAACCACAACCAAACCCAGAAACTCAAACTGACCTTTTTCACCTTCTGTGGGTTTTTCATACGACGACACTTTCTAATGTCCATTTCTGTGGTGTTCACACAGCCTGGCTGAGAAGAGATGGTAATCGTATTACTCCTCTGTTTACAATCCACATGCTACCTTACCTTTCTAAAATATACAATTAGATCTTGTCCAAAATTCTTTCCTGAAGTTTGTGTCCCATAAATTATCCTTGTTAAACAAAAGACTGCATATACCCAAAGTTGGCATCTCAGCATCCAATCCATTCACTCATAACTTTGGCACCAAAAGGAAATATCTCAGCTAAGTGGGCAGCTTTTTCTAGGAAGTCTGAGCCAAACTAGGTAAGCTGCTTTTCTTTTGTACACACAATAACTAATCTTCAAAACTTCACATTTATCATATATTTCCAAATCAATAGTTCCATGCACGCAAAAGCCTGGAATGTCTAAAATAATCTTGTAGACACTTGGTGTGTTTTGAACTGTGAGGAAAATCCACATGGTGACTTTAAAGGCAATGTCTTTATGTAATACATGGCACAATGTTTACTAATATTAAAACTTTCCTGTCTTCAAACCTGGAAAGTCTCATCATTCAAAAAGAGCTTTACCACAGGCCTGTGCACATCCCAGAATGCTCTTTCCTGGCTGTCCAAAATCTTTCTTTCTGTTTTATCCTTTTTTCTGTCGATTCTGAAAACAAAAGCATAAACATTTAAGTCAATGTACAAGTAATGCTTTCTTCTTTTTTACAGTTCCTAGCTGGGGTTTTTAACCCCATGATAAAAAAAAACTTACAGAAATCCACTTTTTTGTACAGCAGTGTCACACGCCCGCTTGCAAGGCCATGTGCCATGAACTAAATATCAGTGCTGTTTACTCCAATATGTGTCAAAAGAGATTTTCCTATTAAGGTGGAAAATTTACTTTAATATCTGTTTTTTCATCTGGAGAGGAAAACAACCCTTTCCAATACTCTGCTCCCATTCCCTGATTTGGCAGGCTGGGGAAGTTCATGTTTGGCTTTGTCTTTGTCAGGAGACCCACAGGAACCTCTTTACTCCAGGTGAAGCTCTTGGCTGGTGCTGGATGGAGGTCCACATCGGGAGGCCCCGTTGCACCCTGGTGCCCCAGCAGCACTGCTGGCGTGACCACAGATTGCAAAGGAGCAGCTATCCCAGGCATTCCCAGCAGCAGCAGCACGGGCAGCACGTGGGGCCACCCTCATCAGGGCTCTCAGCAGACTGGCTCTGCCCCCCGCCCGCCCCGGTGTTGGCAAAGCGAGGGGTGACAGCATGGGCAACCAGAGCAGAGCTTGCTGCATGACCCCATGCAAGCCAGTGCTCACCTGAGACACGCGACTGGGCCAGCACAACTGTAACTCAGTAATTTCAGCCCTGATGCAGCCAGTGAATTGACTCCCTCAAAGCACACACATCAAAGGCGACCGGAGGTTGTTCAAAACAACTGTTCCCCTATCTCTCAGCAGCATTAAGCAATTTGCTTCTGGTGCCTCACTCCTGTGCTCTGCTCTACACGTGAGCACAGCAAAGTCACCAGCAGCTTCCAAGATCTACCTGCGGAGAGACTGGGTGAGGCACGGGAAGGAGGAACCGCCTTTGCCTCCAGAGCAGGATTGCAAAGCTGACAGCTTCTGCATTGCCGCCATCCAGGAAAATCAAAGCAGTGAAGAAAAAAACAACACCAGCTGGGATTTCCAACCATCAGTTTCTCCCCACTCCAGTTTTTCTTTTGGAGGGGCAGTGATCCTCAGCTAAGTCTGTGCTAGAAAAGGGATTAGGAAATGGGGGACTGAAACTGAAGTTTCTGAACACTCCTCCCCACAAAAAGCCCGAGTCCTCCACAGTTTGGTATCACTTTCTGAATATCCTCCCTGCAAGGCCGAGATGAGAAACCAGCTCTGCACCAGCTCTGTCCCCGCACAAAGACAGAGCAGCCGCCAGACAGCAGTTGCCATACTGCACTGGGGAGCAAATGCAGACACCCAGCCCAAAACTTTTTCTGAGCAAGCCTTTTGGCCCAGCCAAGGGGGAAGGCGAAGTCTTTGGCCAACCTCACACCACACACGAACTGGAGGTACTCTTCAGAGGCTCCATGAATTGTCTTTGCAGGTGCTTTGTGCTGAACGGGTTCATATCTCCAAACTTACTGATAACTCAGTATTTCACATTTTAAACTATGAAGACACAACATAATTAGATGCTCTGGCACTGCAGTTTTTGAGCAATGTAGGTACCGCAGTGGAAATCCTGTGTGCAAACGAAGACATGGAAAGCAGAGCAGCAGAACTTGATAAGCAGGAGGATTGTTTTCAGGTATTTTTTGTTTGTTTTCCTTTTTAGTTAATTCAGGGCTGTGAATTATGCTATGAATTACACTCTGAATTCCAGCCCGCCTTGTTGGAAACCTGAAGACTGAACTGTCACATGAACTGGGAACCAAGAAGCTGAAACCAGCCAGCAACAAAAGTTGAGAGTGGCCAGTCCATGCTTCCACTTCACAGAAAACTGAATGGAGAAAAGATGAATAAGCAACAGTGATCACATCAAGAATCTGATATCTACATTTCTTTCTTAGGTAATAATCGTATGCTGTGGACGGAACGCAGAATTTTGTTTTGACTTAGATTTTTTTTTTTTTTCACCTTGGCAATAAACCTTTAAGTAACTGAAAGTACAATTGGTATCTTAACTTCTAATTTTCTCTTCCAAACAGAACACTGGTATTCTGGTCGGAAAAAATCCCTTAATTACTTTGTAAATTAAAGGATAATTACCATGTACTTAAATAGTGCATAATTACAATGTTATTAACCAAAGAATTAATCAAAATTCCAAAGAGTTAATCAAAGATAGAGACATATACCTCAGCCACACCCTCAAAAAATGATGTTCCTTAACTTTTTAGCATCTAATGCTGAAAGTGCAAATTCCTTCTAGTGGTACAGTGTCAGTACTGGTGTTCTCATGCGCCATCTTCACCAACATTTCCATTTTATAGGTGACAACTACATGCACTAAACAGACACGGAGGGTTTTAGGCGCTAGTTTTTAGACACTGGTCTACAAAACCTGGACCATACCCATTTTGCAGCAATAATGAAAACGTGCTCAAAACATTGAGAGGCTTCAAACTGTTTTCACAAGGGAAGATGAGAAAAAAAATGTAGATTTCAATTATGAGCAGAGGATGGGAAAACCCCAAATACTGAATCTGAGTAAGTTTCATGTAAGCAGTACTCAATTCTCCACACTAATTTAGTAGCACAAGTCGGACTGCAGAGAGTAGCGGTACAATGGAGTCAACTGGGGATTGGTATAAATGAGAAAACCAAATCCAGTCTGCTGTAAATACCACCCTTATAATGACTTTGAAGTGGCAGTATGTTTAAACTCAGAAATACTTTACAAGGATAGAGTAACATAGACAGATGACAAAGTTCTGTTCTTTCCATTTTTACAAAACAAAAATACTACACAAAAGTAGAAGCAGAATGGGCAAGTGAATTGCCCAAGCTCCCATGGTGAATCCAGGCTCAGGAGCTCCTGACCAACATTTCCATGTACAGATAATTAAACCCATCTTTCAGATTCCAGCACAAACCTTCAAAATTGGCTCTCTATTGTTTCTAGTCTGCCGATGATTAAAATTCACCAACACCTTCTGAGCTTAGCTGCAGTAAAGACTTCGACAGAGAAGTTTTATCTGTACAGAATCCCCTTCCCTTCACAGCTCTAAATACTGGCACAGTTTAGTGCTCCAGGATTACTCACTTCACTTGGGCCTCAGCTTGCATGAAGATGAATTCCCACTTTCTTGCAAATGCTCTCTGAAGTCTTGCTAAGTTTTCCTGACAAAAGATAAAAATAGTAAGCACAATTAATCCCTGTAATTATAACAAATGCTTAAGAGCACAGTTAGCATGGTGGGTGTTTATTTTGTTCCTTTTTTTTTTTTTAATCTGGAAAAACTCAAGACACAGAAGTCAGTGTTGGTTTCAGGTGAACTACCTTGCAGGCAAAGCAAGGCTGTAACACATCCTTTTGGGCTGCAGCCCCATAGCTGCAGCCAAGAGGGCCCTGTCAGAGAGAAGGAATGGAGTATGATGGAGACAGCCTGAGCTCTACTATGAAAATAACAATGGACTTGTTCCCAAAAGATAACACTGAGAAGCTTTGTGAAGCTGATGACTTTCATTTCTGATGGTAGATGGCTGCTACCTGCATGTTTCCCTCTCATCCCCACTTTCCCTTCCTCCCCCCACTGCTCGCTTCTCTTCAGGCTTTTGCTAAGGTGCAAAGCTTGAGCATCCCTTGCTTTGCTCAGTCCTGGTCACTGCTAAGAGCATTGCGCAGCTGCACAGCACTGAAGGCTGGGGATTGCCAGGGTGATTCATAAAAGGAAATAGCTTGTTTGTCTGAACAATGAACATTGCTAAGTGCAAAGACTGGGTCCAGATGCAGCCTTGCTCTACATCTGAAGTAAGAGCTCTGGTCCAGACCCATTACAGAGAACATCGTGATCTGAACATTTGGAGGTGGATGTGACTTCATCACAACCCAAGGTCAAACTCAGGACATGGCCAGAATTTCAGGCTCAAATGGGACCCCGAGGTCACATATCCACACCCACCCTGACAAGGAGGCCTACAAGACCATTAACCTGATGCTCTTCTCCATTACAGCTGGCTCAACTGTTGCAGATTTTCATTGAAATGAACACTATTAGTTCTACTGCTGTTCTTTTTATACCTATTCCCTTTATTTCAAGAAAGAGCTTAAATGCATGCATTTCAATGCTAGAAGAAATCTTCCTATTATTTACTTTAAACTGTTGTATAATACAAGGCATAAAACTTGGCCCTCTTACCACCAAGTCCATGTAAGAGTCTCAGTCTGTATACATGGAAGAAAACAGTTAAGCAAATGATTTACAGCTGTGCTGAACTGTGCTGATTTTCTTAACTGTGGCTACAAGGAAGAACTACTTGTAATTATCTGCAAAAACAATTTTTTGTGGTTTTTTTTTTTTTTTTAATTTTAAATTATGTTCACATGTGCCCTCTGGAGCAAATATGCTGAAGCCAATGAAACATCACCAATTGAAGCAATATTTGAATTGTGCTTATGTTTGGCCAATTACAAAGAGAATTGAGTGCAATTATGTAAGCTTAATCATATCATCAAGACCCCTGCTCTATCAGTTTAAATGGGAGGTGGGGGGGCTGTCTATGAATGCTGCAAGCAAAGCCTAGAAAAGAGATGTCCTCTGAGATGCTTTGTAGAGATTCTCTTTGGAAACTCCAGGTCAGTGCTGATGCCTACAGAGAAGCATTCTCATACTACGTCTCCAAAAATGTGTACTAAATATACAGGGCTCCTTCCCAGTCCTGTAAGACTGTTTGTCTCACTTGTGCTCAGCTTACATCTCCATTGCCGGATCTGCTTCAGCTCCCATAATGACTAGGAAGAGTCAGTGCCATTCTTATCTGATTGTCTCTAATTAAGAGAGCAAAGTTTGAATGCAGAAGCAATCTCTAATTGTGCAATGCAATATTCACAAGAAAAATGAGAGACTGCCAAGATCTAATTATTTGCCATCACTGGAGCATTGCTACTCTCAGTAGACAACGATGTGCAAAAGTACTTAGCCATAGCCTTGCTGCATGTGTGTGGGAGTATGTGCGCTGCTGAACAGCCTTTTGTTGCTTTATGATAGATCTTTAGAGTACTTACAGTTAATTGGTTGGCTGTGAGCAATTTTAATGGTTTTAATAATGAAATCAACAATATGCAGAAGAGAAAACTCAGCAAAAGGATGTGTAAGTGCATGCAGATTATTACATTCCTTCCTTTATGCCTGTGCTTCAAGATTAGAACTCTTGGGAACTCTGGATGCGTTTCCAGGGTGGACTAGATAAGTGGCAATTTTTGCATGCTCTTCACTGAAAGGACCAAATGACATGTATAATATACCCATGTGCACAGAAGTCCCAAAATGTAGAAGGCAAGGAAGAAAGAAGTAGTCCGTTCTTGGAAAAAAACCCTAAAATACATGCAATGTAAGTGTTTTCATTGTAATAAACATGAACACAGAGAAGTCCACTAGAACTAGCTTTGTAAACAAAACCTCCAACCAAAAACTCAGCTGTTACGCTGTTGAGCTAGTAAATAGAAAAAAAAAGTCAATATGATAGGAAGAAAAGTTCAGCTGGTCAGTGTTACACTTCTGGCACTCAAAGAAACTCACACCAGCCCAACCCCTCCTGCCTCCATCTTCCCATTCCTCTCTACCCAAACCCTGCACAATCTGAAGCCAAGGTTGGGGTTATTTTTATGGATAATCTTTCATAGCAGAAAATACAGCCTGAATAAGCTTGAGTAATAGTTTTTATATGGCATATTGAAAACAGTCCAAGTCTAGTATCTGAAAACTTCCCTTTTAAGGTCCGTAACTAGATGGGTCATCAGCAATTTAATTGTCCAATAATGCATCTGAAAGCCATCATTTTCATGTGTTAATATCTGCTATATAAACGAGGAACTGTTAACTGGAAAGAGGAAACCACTGTAAACTTCTGTGTAATTTCCCCAATCTTGGAGGGCTGGCTATACAGCAGATGCTTTAATCTGAGATGTTGCAAAGCCAGGGACATTCCCCAATCACGTTCCTGATGTTGTCTCCAGATCAACCTCCACACAATTCTGACAACTGAAAAAAAAGACACAGTAAAGGCTGACCCCAAAGCACAAAAAGGCAGCATTCAATTAGCAAGCAAAGCTCTCCCCACACCCCCCAGCTTTAAACTCTAGCAGCAGTGTACCTACGGCTTCATAATCCGCCAGCTCCAGCCTAGCTTTGTTCTGCATGGTCCGTTTGCAAAGATAGATGGCTAAAGGTAGAAACAGAATGGAAAACAATTACAGACAGATTATTAGTACTAAATCTTAAAAAAGAAAAACGTGGTCCCTGCATTGTTCTTTCTCATCAGAAAGCAACATGAGGCAAGGAATGAGAGGGCTGAATACTGAGCTGACATTATCCACTAGTAGTCTCAGAGGCCTTAAACATCTGGGACATCTCATTTAGAAGTGCTGAGAGTAGATGCCAGGATCTAACAAGATCTCTAAGAAAGGCACAATTGCTTCTGGGGCTGGTAAAAGATTTAGCATTAGCAACCTGTTCCCTTCAGCACTTTGGGAATATGTCTGCCAAAGTGAGCAGCCCTGCACTTCTTTTCCCTTGTTGTTTAAAAAAAAATAAAATTCAGGATATTGAAATGAAAACAGAAATACAGGCCAGATCTTAAAGGTATGATCTGAGCATTTTTTCATATGCTTCATCCCCTTATTCTACACAACTCAAATGGTTAAGAAAAGCCTTCTCACATTTCACCATAGGCAGACACTGCAGAAACTGGTGTGGTTTGGGATTCTGAGGGTCATGATGAGCCCAGTGCACGACACCAAACCAGTCCCAGCTGGGCTGCTAGCTCACCCCATTTCTATTACAAGCTGAAACACAAGGTCCCCAGCACACCCTGGGTATACAGTCAGGTCTGAACTACATAAGAGAGGTCTAGTGCTCTCATTTTGGGATGGATCTAGATGTGAATTTTATAGCTTCCTTGTGTTTTGCCCTCTCATGCTGTAGGGCCAGGTACTTATTGTCCAACAGTGTACCAAACCGGAGCAGGGCAGAATGCAAAGCATCATCTACATAAAAGTGCAATATATCTTTTTGAAAAAATTTCAGCTTTTCTTTGAAAACCATGGGGTTTTGGTTTCCTGGTAAGTACAATTTTCTGACACCTCCATAGATGTTTTCCATTGGAAACCTATTCTTCTATTTAAAAATACATGTAAAAACCAGCGCTACTCATGTAATTCTATTCTTTGCTATTCCTATATTTCTAACCTTCACATAATGAGCTAATATTATGCACGGTAACCAGAGCTGTTCAGTTCATATATATTTATATTTATACATCTCAAGAACAGTTTCATCCATAAGCCATTTACAACACCAAAGAAAGTGAGAGTCAGTCATCTCACAGTATTTCTTCATGCTAGGCAGTGACCTGCCATTGGCAAGTTAGTTTCTGTCCTGTGAGTGGATCCATGCAAAGAGAAGTATGAAGAGCTTCTGGGATTTCAGGTTTATTTGGGTCTACTGCTAGTTTGGGATTAATTCTTGGGAAGACTCCATCTGTACAGACCTCTGATATGCAAAGACTGATTATAAGCGTATGTTAGAGATTTCTGGGACAGATGAAAATCTGTCACTACAGGGCTCAGAGCTAATGCAGTTGCAGCTTGTCCAGCTGTGGGTCAGCTCATATAGGACTTTATTTTGAGGTGTACTGTTCCACTCAACGCCCTTGCAGCACAATAATCTCACTGCAAAACCAGTTATTTATCAGATACTATAAGAAAAAACAGAACTTCCCTCTTCAGATTGTTATTCTGATATTTACAGAATACATATTTGGCACAGTTCAGACAGTTACATATTGTGACTGTAAAATCTGGAAATTATTTTGCATATAATGAACAGTATCATGTTTTCTCCTAAGCACTTCCTTCACTGGGATAAACACATAAGTATGTGCTAGCTTCCCTGCAGATGAGGACTGCAAATGAACTATCCCATGACAGACACCATTCCAGAATCCGTAATGGTGAGTAATTATTGCCCGGGAAAGAAAAAACACCTGATTATTCAGGGAGGAGTTCTAAACTGATCGTAGATTATGAGATATTTCAAAAGAAGCACTTCCAGAAGCTCCTGTTTTATGAGAACACACGTGGATTCACTTCCTCTTCCAATGCCACATCAGGATGCAACAATTGACTTTATCATTTAACTGTGAAAGAAGTGCAGTTCTGGAAGAGACAGCAACATTGCATGCAGACAGCTAAAGATAACAACACTGACATATTTTCTTTATGTATTATCACTGTCTGCAGGCACTCACATGTTTAACGCACCATGGTGCAGTTTATTAGCTCATAAACCATGCTCAGTCTTCTCTTTTTTACCAGCTATCAGCTGGTAATCTTAAAAAAATCGGAAAAATAAGTCAGATGTCATATATCAGAGAACTTTAACTATGGGTTGCCGTCAGTTATATACTGGTTTATTGATCAGCCAGATGAATGCCCAGATGAGGTAACTTTTTATTGATCAACATATCAGATTCAGCTACAGATCAGAGTATGTTCTCCCACAAAAGCAATATTGGTATTATTTAAGATTCCCAAGGAGCAGTGTTCTGCTTGCCATAAATCCTGCCGAAACGAACAGAGCTACGGGAGAATGAAGGTAACGG